TCAGTCCTGGAAGTAACTGTCGCTGCAGAGTGCATTGCTGGTCTAATCTGGTTCTATTGTTCGTCTGCACTACCATGTTCCGGCGCGTCTAGCTCTTTCCGTAGTTCTGATTCAAAGCGGGCAAGAACGGCTGGAGCAGAGAAACGATGATCCGACTACCGAGTTTAGTTGGTTTTTCTGCGACCATTGAGTCGGAGAGTGAACTTCAATAAAACTATTGATCAGCTTTATCGCCGGTGGTCCAATAGATTCTGCAGTTTTTTACTGAGCCACGCCAATGGTAGCTTACTGTTGTGTCATTCACTCGAGTTAGTGTGCCGGGTGAACTGGAAGGTCATTTTGTTGTCCTCCTAGATCTGTGTCCGATGTTGGTGCTGGATGATAAGAAATGGTGATCTACGCAGAACTGAGTATCTCGATTGCCATTATCTGTTGGTTGACCGGCCGGAGTTTCGGATGAACTCAGTTTTGCAACTTGCGAGAGGAACTATGTCGAAGCTTCGGCTCAACGGAATGAGTTCGGTGATCACTATCAAAAATAGAAAAGTGTGATAATTTGGGAATCAGGAATTTTCGCTAGTTCCCCCAGATCAGCTGCCTACGATTCACCAACCCGGTTATAAGCCCGAATGTTGGCTTTCCGTCCTGTCTCTTCGGTGGAAAATCATCTTCAGTAAGTGAAAGCGGATTGGCGTTTTTTCGGCGGAAGCTGTTTAGACCCCCAGTCGTATACGATGGTTTTGCGAAGTGCAAGGGAAGAGTGACCAATCACGACCCAGGATATCCACCCTGACCATATTAATGCTTTCAGAGGCCGTGAGTCTGTAGAGTGTACTGCGGTGTGGCGATCACGATCCGTTAGTTAATACGAATACTGCTCCTGTGGTGTTCCATCTTGCTGATATGGTTTTCGAGAACTGGTGATTGAATTATACAAAAGAACACTTACTCCTCTGAAGTAAACTTGCAGGCTGCACTACGGTTTGCAAAATCTGGAAGTAAAGCCTTGACCAAAATGGCTTTTTAAGTGCCCGTAGGTCATCTGCTACCCTAGGCTGGGCACCGAATGGTCAAACTCTCCCTATTGTTGCTGGGAACACCGCTTCCTATTCTATTACCATGAAACTGGGGCTAATATTCATCGATCCGGCTTATCATCCGGTATTAAATAGTGGAGTAAACGTAAAATCTTTTTATAATTGACCGTAACAACCGTGAATTTCTATCCACTATAATTTGTTGTTGGGTATTCAGTTTTCCAGTATCTACTTCCTATTTGAATTCCTATGGTTCTCTTGATTTCACTCGTTATTATGTCGCTTCACTCGCCCCGTCCCTGTCGTGTACTGGAAGTCTGAGCTTGAACGCGCCGGGTTGCCAAACGAGGATGCGCTTTACGAGGAAATCGAACGATGCCAGAACGTGGAATCGAATCTAGAAGACCAACTTGCGGCGAACGAAGCAAACGAGGCTCGAGAGACTTCCAAAACTACTGTGTCTTCCTCAGTGACTGCTGGGGTGGATTTGAATAGTTGTGCGGCCGGCATCTCCCAACTGATCGGGTCAGATAATCGTCTCAAACCAAGTTCCACGCTTTCTGGTCGCATGAAACGGGCGGCCGATCTCCTCGTCTCACTTGCGCTGCCAGCTGCAGTTCAGGCTCAAATGATTGCTGGCCCTCCACCGGGTGACACCAAACTGAGCGAAACCAAGTTGAATCAGGTAATTAAAAGGCGTCTACTATTATCACTCTGATCTGATTATCGTTACCTGTCTTTCATCGGTATATCTTATTTACCCGTAATAATATGAGATTTTATCGAATCTGTCGCGGTCATAAGAACCTGAAAATTACTATCTAAAAAAAGTATGGCATCAAATCCGGCAATAACGGTGCCTTTTTGTCACCAACAGGATCAAACGATGATGGAGTTTGAACTGAACTCTTTAGCGCAACACCATTTCGGGCTCTTTGAACACCAATGTTAGGGTTATTTGAGGCCTGAATTATATTTCCCGTCGTATCGTTTCTTGGTTATACAAAGTGACCAAGATTCAACAACTTTGCAATTCCGACGATAAGGGAGCTCACAGCAGTAGAACCGATTCCCCAAATAACTACTGCTAGCCAACCGCAGAGGGGTTGGCATAAATAACGATTTGAAACCCAGCGGATTCCTAAACAGATGCTCCTTAGCTGGTTTTTACGCAAACGCACGAGACTTCCTTAACAAACTCCCTGAGGTTCAAATGCGCTTACAAACTGGTCAGTGGGATCTTGTTGCCATTACCGAAACTTGGTTGACTGCCGATTTTCTCGATTCGGAATTGCACCTACCCGGAATGTTGCTGCTAAGGCCTGATTGTTCTACACGAGGTGACGGTGTGCTGCTATATTTCCGCAGCAACCTTCAATGTGAACCACTCGATCTCTTCAATGCAGCCCCCGACACTTTGGTGCATAATGAGGCTGTCCAAAGATAGCAATTGTTTGATCGTTGTAGCCTACCGCCCTCCTGCATCCTCAGACTTATCAAACGAGGCTCTCTTGCAGACTATGAGAAACGCTGTCTCAATAAAGTGCACTCATGTTTTCATGATGAAGGACTTCAATTTTCCCAATTTTATGAAAAGCTAGNTTTCGATTCTGAATTGCACCCACCCGGAATGTCGCTGCTGAGGCATGATCGCTCTACACGAGGTGGCGGTGTGCTACTATATTTCCACAGCAACCTTCAATGTGAACCACTCGATCTCTTCGATGCAGCCCCCGGCACACTTTGGTGCACAATGAGGCTGTTTAAAGATAGCAGTTGTTTGATGGGTGTGGTCTACCGCCCTCCTGCATCCTCCGATTTAGCCAACGAGGCAGTCTTGCAGACTATGAGAAACGCTATCTCAGTAAAGTTCACTCATGTTCTCATTATGAGAGACTTCAGTTGTCCCCATTCTATAAAACGCCAGAACTATCATCACCCTTTCGAACGAAACTTAACACATTTTATAGACTCACTTCCGATGTATAATCACGTGAAGGATCCCACCAGATTTGGAACAGGCCACTAACCATCAACATTGGACTTGGTATTGACAAGCGAGGAGCTTTTGGTCGAATCGGATTACAGCTTCCACACCTATCAAGTGTCCCATACCCCCAACTGACCACCGTCAATTCTGAAACGGTTTAAAGAAAACTATTGGCGCTGCGCCGGGATTCATCTCCAGGAGAAAACAACATCCATCCACAGACCCTGACTTCCTTGGCAAATTACGTATCTGAAATAATTGCCCATTTATACCAAAGACTGTTCGACCAGACGAATATCCCTCAATCCTGGAAGCACTGCATCATTTCGCCTTTTTACAAAGGTGGCTGCAGAAGTGATCCTGCGAACTACCGTCCAGTTACACTGATTTCTGTTATGTCAAAGCAATGGAATTAATTGTTGCTGATTCTCTGATGGATAATTTCGAGAAGCATAATACACTTTCGCCGGCCCAACACGCGTTTCGAAGGAAACGCTCGTGCACCACGAACCTGCTACTTGCACGAAACGAATGGACAAGTTTAGTCGACGCAGGAGAATCAGGAGACGTGGTCTAGTTAGACTTATCCAAAGCTTTTGACTGGGTTGACCACCTATTGCCGCGAAAGCTCCATAATTACGGTGTCCGAGGACTGCTACTGGACTGAATTGAGGAATTTCTTCGACAACGTACCGTATCGGTTCCAGTTAATGGTTCTCTGTCGGGACCGACTGAGGCTGTCCGTGGAGTTCCATAAAGATCCGTACTCGGTCCGTACCTTTTTCTAGCATTCATGAACGACCTACCAGATGCCCTTGGAGAAAAGGCACTATTATTCGCTGATGACACCAAAACATGGAGGACCGTAAAATATCCTGACGATTATGAAACCTTGCAGGAAACTCTCGACGCAGCTTATCGATGGTCCATCATTAATGACATCGGATTCAACTTTAAAAAATGCAAGGTTGTATCGCTGCGCCACAGGGATCGCTTTCCATACTTACTTGGAACTCAGCCATTGCCGCGTTCTCCAAACGAAAAGGACCTAGGAGTTATCGTTCATGATGATCTAGGATGTTCCACACATTGCGCAAGAGCGTCTTCAAAGGCTAACACGTTGGATTGTTAAAATGTGTTTTTCGGATCATTCGAAACAGACCTATTCCCCCGTTTATTATCAGCGTACATTAGACCACACACCGAGTATGCTACACAGGCTTAGAATCCATGGCTGATTCGCGACCAAAAGGCACTCGGACGTCCGCAGAGAACAGCAACCAAGATAGTCAAGGGGTTACAATCTAAGATCTACAGTGAAAGACTGCGAATTCTCGGACTCTATTTGAATTTGAGTAGTAATTTGAACAGAGTTCCTGTGAACCATCAACTTCATATACTCTCGGTCAGCCGTCAACACACAGTAATGCTATGTGGTCGTTAAAATGAGAATGCTCTCTGTGAACGTTCAAAGTTCACGGTGTGCCGGGTGAATAATAAATGGAACAATGATAGAAATGCATCTCATCCAACGTAAATAACCTGTGAACTGGAAAACTGGAAAGCATCATCCGACTGTGTACATTTTCCTCTAGAATGATCAAAATAGTTCAGCCATAGAGTGCTGCTGTTCAATGTTCTAATTACCGTCGGCGATCAGTGGTTCGAAATTAATATTCGTATGACTTACATGATTCCCATGCGGTGTGAAGACCCCGATTATTCATAACTGGACCATGAAATTTGTGTGATTAATTAAGAAGTCACACCGATAATTTCAGGAGCTCAGCGAATCGCATCGCTTCTTGCATCCGTATTCTATCGCAATCTTAGTGTAGTAATTGCTATGGTGGTTCTAAATCCAGTTTTTGTGATGAAGATGAAAAATATTTAGATGATGAATGTTTAAATTAAATATATTTGTTTTCGGTGGCTGAATGATGAGTAGCTAATGCGGGGGATACTCATGTACAGGTGTTAGTCAAACTTGTGCAACGTCACTCTCATTTTGGAAATATATTTCAGTCTGAAATATCACAGTTCTATATTGATGGCTATGGGTAAAGTGTATTTATTTCTGATTTTATCTCCCACATCTATGTTCTCAATTTTCTCATACCACCTTTTGAATTTGCGTGACCTTGAGTGCTGCGATAAAATTTGTAGTAGTTTGAAAGTTTCAGATGAGATTTCGAGAATTTGTTAAGCAAAGCAGAATGGGAAGTCATTCTTTTTAATAAACGATTCCTGTTCCATGAGAGTGTTTGTTAAGTTGAGCAAACTTATTCTAAATTGCTCATTTCTTTTCATTCAGTGCACAGCAAATAAGGAAATTAATGAAAATATTCTAACTTAATTAAATTGATGAATTATGTGGCTGCAAACTGTTCACACATTATCCACAATAATGAAAGAACTGAAAACATAGTTCAAGAAACATAAAAGTTGATCTTCGAAAGTTGACCTTGAGGTGTGCGGCTCGTTGAATAAGCGTCTTGTAGTGGTACCGTACCCAAACCGGTTTATCCCTTCAAAAGATTTTGGCATATAATTGAAGCCCAAAGGCATCTTAATCCGATGACTCAGTTGGTGTTATGTGAAAGTGCTTCGATGTGATCATAGGTTCAATTTATTGCATATTCAACGAAATTTCTCCACCAAAACATAAACCGAGAGGGGAAAAACCGATCATATCAAAGCAAGACTATGGTTGTATTTGATCGCAGCAGAGAGCGGTTGCGCAAAACCAATGTGAAGGATAGTTCGGGCTGATTAACCGTTTTTTCCTCACGCCTTCGTTTGGAAAATGATGGCTTGATTTAAAATGAAACAATTCTGGAACACCCAACGAAGCAGAACACGTATTAATTTTACCAGCCAATTCAAATAGCGTCGCCTGTCTATCTGGTAATGGGTTTATCTCGCTGATGCCCAACGAGTAATTCAGCATGCCGTGAAAGCTGATCCACTAAGCTAGTTTTCTAATGAAGTTAATTTTATCTGTCAAAAGAAGTAAACATTGATCCCGCCTGAGTGGTTAGAACTGAAGTAACTACCGAGTGTCTTGTTATTGGTCTCCTGTACACACCAAGCGGGATATCGCAAAATGCGTTGCACTGATAAGGGAGGTTTTCGGTAACTGCTACTCTTCAAATGCATTTGTGGAAGTCATATTTTTCACAGATGAAGGTTGGTATATCTTCTTGCTTGAGGTTTGTAGTCGAAAACTGTTAAACTTAATTAAATAATATTTTTTCACATTTATGCAGTTTCTAGAGGGGTAAAGTTCAATGTAAAACTCGTTCCATTACCGCGCAGAAGCTGGGATTTTATCAATCGGAAATTCCTCTCTATCAGAAACAGGAATAAGTTATCTACCTTGCCATTGGTCGCCAGTGGTGAGGGTGTGCGGTGTATTAGAGGAAACTTGCAAATTCTGTTTGGCAGATAACGTGGTGGATTTCATGGTCAAAAATGAAGAAGGGCAAATGGAACATGGACGAGATAAAAGTATAATACCTATATGAAGTCTATGAATCATTTTAATAAATAAATTCTATTTATGTTTTCTACTGTGGCTTTGTTATTGTACGACTGTTGCACTAGCAACCATCGTCAACATCGCGAAATCGTACATTTTAGTGGCATAAGGCTAATAGAAGCAAAGACGTAAGTGGGTATTATATCTGATGTGGGGAAATATAATGTTCAATCCCGTGAATGAGGTTGGAAAAATGAAACATTGAGATGAACAACTGTAATGAAAATCGGGATATTGCACTAGTTTTGTCAATACCTATATTGGTGGACTGTGGATCGACGCGAATCGTTCGATATATAACGGAATATTTGATTCGTTTGCTGGTTTAATTGTGATTCCATACAATGGTTGATGTTTTAAACAAAAAAGATTTTCATATAAGAAGTTCTTTGTTGGCTGCTCGTAATGGGAGTGGTGGGCTAGTTATCCCTGTGTCCCTTAGTGTCGATATCTGTGGGTATGTGACTGAGAACATTATTATTCAGTCTTTCTGGATTCGAAACCGTGCATCAAAGTTAATAAGAGGAATGACGCTGAGCATAAAAGCAACCTACTAACCTGTCCTTAACAATCAAAGGTACCACTTTTCTATCAAAGCTGTTGGCGTCCCTCATCTCCCGCCGATTGTATACTATGCATGAGGAGCAGACCTGCGAGGAGCAAATTCGGTTTCGCATGGATCAAATCTTCGCCTTCCGACAGTGATTGGAGCACCATCGTGCCTACCTTAGATCAGCGATCATTATGTTCCTGGACATCTGCGTGGCCTGCTACTCTGTTTATCGGACCGCACTATGGAACTGTTTGTTAAGAAATGGAGTTCTTCAGAAGTTTTGTATCGTCTTGCCTCATGTCGGGTTATGGCCCAAGACCAACTTTCGCCACCCTTTTCCGTCTCCAGTGGGTTCGTATAGGGTATACTGGAGTAGATTTGTTTTCCAAATAATAATAAACAAGCCTTAGTGAGTCTTTAAAGCCGTGATTTTCCTGATTCGTTTATACTCAGCAGATGGAATGGTTCAGAATAAAGCGGATACTCTCATTCCATTAGTAGTGGTCTGCTTAGACCATTATGAGTTAGAAGCTCACTAAAGGGAATAAAGCCATTTTTATTTATTTATTTATTTTAATTATATATATGTATATATATATTATAGGTGATAAATATAATGAAACTCAATTTGGTCATAAAGAAAATATTTTAGTGCATCACAATCGGCCAGTACTGTTTATAACAAAAAGATAGCTAGTACTAGAGAATGGAGGGCGAGAGAATCAATAATTTATCGGTTTGTCACGAATCAATCACTCTTTTTTTCGATTTCTTTTCACATTTTACATTGGTCTGATTACATATTATGATCTATTTTCTACTCCAGCGTATCCGATTGGCCACTGAATTAGAAGCTTCGCGTGGAGATGATTTCGTGGTACGTTCTGTTGCTAATAGTAACGATGTTTTGAATTCGTATGTCTGTTTTCGGAGTTTCTCGTTATTTCAACTGTGTTGCTTAAGCATTATCTCATGTTTGCGATATCTTATTAAACAGCCACATTGTCCATATCTAACCGGTTTTGTTTCATCCCGATCGGGAATTTTGACAGTTCTGGCTGATGTTCATACGACATCGTCGTCTCAAAGTGGCCAAACGGCGCACACAGCGTCAAAGCCGAATTGATCTGGCCACACAGATAGGCTTGCACGGCCCCAATTCGACTGGGACCGCGAGCAACACGACTGCGGTGGATGAAACGCAAAGTACCAAATCTGCTCATGTGTCCAATGCAGCTCACACCAGCGACCAGGTGGGGAATGGGTTACTTGGATCTGTGGAGAACAAATCCTCTCAAAGGTATGTCTCCCTAGAATTTAACTTATCCATGTGAGTTTTATGTTTTAATGTATTTCACAATAAAATACGAGTTTTTGAATCTGTGCTGTTGGATTATTCACCATATGTTCGTTAGCCTCGGGCTTGAAACCCATTTGCATAAACAAAACCCGACTTTCAAGTCTTCCTCCACCTTTCAGGTGTCTATGTCCTGCGTTAGGATTGTTGAACCTCTTCTGGGTGTTTATTGGAGGCCGTCCAGATATTGATGTCTACAATAAAGTTGTCGCATTGTGGAGCGCTCTCTCACTCACTCCGAGAACCGACAGATCAGAGGCGATACACGTCCTCTTCGACTGTGTTAACCCGCGTTTTTAGCTGACCTCCGAGGTATCAGGATGATGTAGGACTTTCAAATAAAAGGGGCAATTTGTGAGAATCTCAGTACAACAGAGACTTGTATCCAGCCAATCGCATTATACTCCCTCCGAGTGTGGCTCGCACGTCCAGATTACTCAGTTTACTCTATCACTCATTCGAGCTGGTCACCATCCCAAACAGGACGTCAGAAAACTATTTCGTACACCTCTTTATGGGAAGTTTAGAATCATGGCTTTCTTGTTCTACTAGCTTCTTGGAACATTTTTCATAAAGAAAATCAGGATAGATATCTGCGGTTCTTTGTCACTGGTTTACAAAGGTTAAATTACAAGTCTCTGGGGTCCGATATTTACCGGAAGTCACCGCATACTGATGAAATACCCACCTTTATTGGTATTCGTTTTGTATCGTAGAAACGGAGTTCCTTTATTTTACTTCCCAGTGACAAGAGACTGTAGAACCTATACATTTTTCCGTCCGTTATTTGAAAAATTCTTGTGTACAGTTTTCTTCAAATTCAGAGCAATGAAACAAACGCTTATCAGTGAAGTTTCTTAACGGATATCTTGTATTCTAGTGGTGGGAATCTCTACTTTCATCGCGCTAAATATCACATCAATCCTTTAATTGCGGTCTTTCTAAATACGCTTATCCAAGTCCCTGGGATTCATCATCGTTATCATCGTACAGCGAAACACAGTGAGGCGAACTCTCTGATCACTGCCAAACTCGCAATGCATACAAGGCTTGTGGTGA